TGGACTCTTGCACGTACTTGTAGACGAGTTACAGCCGAAGTCCATAGACAAATATCGTCAGAATATATGGATATGAGGATAGTACTTGGCAAAATTTCACGAATTCCTACCATCACGAGGTTAAATAAAGTGGGACTTAATACGGCGCCCTGAGGGACACCACGGGAGGTATAGTAATTGGTGGTAGGTCCATCTGAGGTTTGTACAAAAAAGGACCTTCTCGTCAAATAATCCTGGATTCATTGGAACATCCGACCACCGATTCCAACAGCTTCCAACGAGTCTAGGATGGCTTTATGTGTTACGCTATCATAAGCCCCTTTGACGTCGAAGAAGAGTGCCAGTGGTATGCGCTTGAGGCTCTTCTGTTGCTGGATAAATGTTGTAAGATCAATCACGTTGTCGAGAGATGGCCTACCTCGCCGAAAACCCATCATGCAGTTTGGGTATACGTTGTAGCGCTCGAGGTACCATTCTAGGCGTGTAAGTATCATCCTTTCCATGACTTTTCCTACGCAACTTGCGAGGGCAACAGGGCGAAATGATGTCAAACCAAATCGTGACTTTTCTGCTTTGAGTAGTGGCACAAGTCGACTTATCTTCTAATCCTGGGGAACATTGCCCGCCAGCCATGAGTGGTTGTAAGAGCTTAACAACTGTCCCCTTGCCTCCTGTTGAAGGTTGGCTAGAGCGGCGTAGGTGATGCCATCGGGTTGTGGTGAAGATGATCGTCGGGAAGTCGCTAAAGATGTGTCAAGTTCTTCTGTATTGAACAGATTGTCCATTTCGTAAATGCGGGGTTCAGGGATAACACTCCTAATGGTGCCAGCGGACAAGGCAGACACACCAGCGATTCGCGTACAAAACTCATTTGCCACTTCAAGTTGGGTGTGGCCTCAATGTATGGCTAAAGTCATGAAAGGATGTCTTTGTTGGGGAGTCGAGCACAGGCCACGAATAGTGCTCCAGATGCGTGACAACGGCTTTCGGGGATCCAATGATTCGCAGAATGATTTCCAACGTTCCTGTTCAAGTTTGTCTAAACGTCGTTGGAGTTTTTTCTGTATGCGTCGTGCCTGCCTCAAGTCGCATATTGCTTTCGCCCACCTGTATCTCCTTTCCGCCCTTCGGCGAAGCGCGCGCAGGTTTTCCAGTTCAACGTCGAAATCTGAACGCTTGCCGGTGAACGGGAGGAGACAGGAAGCTTCCCTCATTGCTTCTTTGATGACATCCTCCAAGTTCTGGAGAGGGTCTTCACGGCATGTATTTTCCATGAGTCGCTGAAATTTGGACCAATCATCTTAGCAGAGGAGTTAGTAAGACCCTTTATTCGCATATAAGTTGGAATGTGGTCACTCCCATGCGTTTAGATGTCTGAAAACCAGTGCACTTGCGACCGGAAGTTTCTGGATACCAGAGTCAAATAAAGGCAACTGCTGTACGTAAGGCCCCGCAGGTATGTAGGACTGCCATCATTTAAGAAACATAGGTCATGTTTGGAAGCGAATGACACGAGGTTTCTTCCTTTAGCGTTGATCGTCGAACTACCCCAGATTAAGTGATGTGCGTTGAAGTCTCCAGTTATAACCCACGGGCCCGTAGTTGTTGTCAGTATGTCTCGTAGTCGGTCTTGTTCAAATCGTTCGGATGGTGATATGTAGACACCAATGAGTGTGAATGACACTTTTTCCTTTTTAACACGTAAGCAGACATATTGATTGTCATCATGCGGTTGAACTGCATGATGCACATATGTGAAATCTGCGCGAATGTAAACAACCACCTTGCTGCGTTCCTCGCACGTTGAAGAAACGAAATATTCATTCCCTGATAGTTTCGGAGGTTTTTGCACGTTTGGGTCACATATAACTATCATAGGAATACGATTCATGAATATATACTGACGGAATGAAGAGATGCGGGATCCCAGGCCTCTCGCGTCCCACTGCATTATCGACGCTTGTCGGACCTCGTTGCGGAATGAGAAAATTGGTCGAGCCATGGTTGCTACTGGAGACTTGCAAATACTGGACTTAGAGCATCCAGTACTTGTAGCGCACTCTGAGTGAGTAGAGACTTCAGGCTGCAGCACAGCTTTCGCATGGCATCCAGCAGTGTTCGGAACATTCTGATGATGTCTGTGTCCTCCTCAGGCCGCTTGTCAGCGGCTGGCTGGAGCGATGTGACTGTCGATGTGCGCTTGGAGTTTGCAGGTGGCTGTGATTTCGGCAATGAAGGCCAAACTGATTCATCTGCAACAGTGCTGCTCGTTAGTTTGTTACCGCGCTGGCCACCTTCGGTCTGGGAGGCGAGGGCGGTGGAAGCGAAGGTGGAGTGGTGCTTTCGATGCAGCATCTGCGGCATTCTTTGATGAACTGCGGCGACTATGATGCCTCTTTCGGACGGTCCTGGCAGCCTCTCGATGCGACGAATTGTCTCTGACCATTTGTTTCAATACCGCTATTTCTCTTTGGATTTTGAGGCATTCTTTGACGAAGCTGCATGCGACCCATGACAATTCGAGCATTTGAGGGTAGTTGCTTCGCAGTCATCTGCAGAATGGGCTTCCGCGCAACGAGGACACACCGTCCTATTTTCACATACGCTTCTCACGTGGCCCATCTTCATGCACTTATAACACTGTAAGGGCTTCGGTATGAAAGGTCGCACTGAATGCGAAAATAGCCCACCTTTACGTGTGAAAGAAGAGAGTCGCCCTTGAACATGATCTTCAAGCAGCGAGAGTTTCCCAAACGGACAACTTTTGCGATGACGCTGGCTTCAGTTGCCGGTTTGACCAGAACATCGAAGTCAGAGCTGGGAATGGCAGTATCCACATCGTAGATGACTCCAGTGACGACGTTAGAGCTGACAGGAATGTAGAAGCGAACTTTCATTCCCCCCAACTCGTTGACGTTGCGCAGTGCATTAAGTGCCGCAGCATTCAAAACGTCGATATCCAATACGTTCTTACGCGTGTTCACTCTGATGTCTGGGATCTCGTTTGGCACGAGTCCTTCCAGCATCAACGAAACAGATTGCCTGTTGAGGCGCTTCATGTTACCGTCCGGTACCTCAGGGACAAAAAGGATAGTGTTTGTCACGGGTCTCCTTGGCACTCTGTCGTTCAACGTACTCGATGACGACGATGTTCTGACGTTCCACCTCTTCGCTTTACGGCTCAGCACCAGCTTAAAATCGTCGTCGTCAGAAGGCTCTTCGCTGCTCATTGAGTAAACAAGAGTGCCCTCGCTGTCGTAGTCGCTGTAGAGTCCCGTACGCTTCCTGGATGCGGTCACCGCCGACGCCGCCGTAACTGGCGGACGTCCGTGGGGGTCCACGTCCATCACCGACGGACACGGATGTGATATTCGCGAAGTTCACTTAAAATTAGGTGAAAAAAGAGAGCACCTACTGAAACTGCGATCTGCTAAGCAATCACTTCGTCGTCGTCGTTTCGTAACCTCTGCTCGGCACTGAAATTGAACAATTAGCAGCGGCTGAATTTTTGGTAGAAGGTGATGGTTCCCTTCCTTGCTTCACATGACGACACATGCACTATGGCAAAATGGCGGTCGCCGATGGTAAGGAGGGCTTATAGCCGCTGCCTTATAAAAGGCAATGGCGTAGCGAGAGGGCGTCACACAAAGCTGGTGCCCCCCCCCCCACCCCCCACAAAAAATGACTGCCTGTGCCCCTGCTTTTACGGCTCAATATTCTTTTACAGCTCACTTTTCATTGTTAGCTGAGAAAAACAGCGCACGGAGGACGAAGACTCAGAAACACAGTGCACATACGAGCACTGAGTTTCTGCGTCCTCAACTTTTTTGCGCGGTTTTTTCCAGCTAACAATGTATCAACTCGTTCAAACCAAAGTCCTGCTTCAGACCACTTTTCACATATGAATAGACATAACATACTCTCTACATCTAGTTTTAGCTGTAAACCACGAATTGATGGGTGACCGTGTCACAGCCCCTTTGTAAAATGGGTGCAGATGTGGTTTCGATGCAACAGCAACCCATCCGCAGACTCTCGCCTCATGAATTCAGTACATTGGTGTATTCATCTACGAAGAAGAGACTGGTGACTACATATCCACAAAAAAATGTGAATATAAAGGGAGGCAAACGGCAGAAGTAATGAAACGGGGCATTTTAGTGTGACAGAGCCTAAAATTTTACCATGCAGCGTTGACACTCGCTGGTACCATGCAGCGCTGGCACTCACGACTGTATTTATGCAGTTGAAGGGGCACGTTTGATCGCTGGTAAACGAGGGGAATGAGGGGTTGAAAGTCAGCCAAGGATCTTTGGGACTATTAGCAGCCTGTCCACGGTGGGATGTCGTTAGATATATATATTTCGTTCTTCAGACTACTCATGTCTATGTGCTTTACGCTAAGAAAAAGAAAAACGTTGACACAGGAAAAAAGAGTTGTGACAG